TCACCCCACACCAGCCTCGGACAGAGGAGGAGGAGTGCTCCGCGACAGCCTGACAGAAAAAAAAAAATAAAAGCATACAGCTGCAGCTGCTCACAAGACCACTAGTTTAAATCAGGAATAAAAGTGTTGGGACTTGTTTGACTGAAGTTCGGTCCTTTAGGGCTTCTGCCTTTTATTCCCCTCCTTCCCTCCCGCTGTGCAGGACGTACTGCTGGTGTGTGTGTGTGTTGAGGGGGAGCAGCGCAGCGCAGCACTCAGCTCTCCTGACCCGAGGCTGAAGGTCAACAGACGATCATACTAAGCTTGCTAACTGTTCCACCCTCTGACTGCTGCAGGGGCGTGTCTTAGAGAGAGGCTTTTATACCAGAACACCGCTGTGACGAAACCGTGGAGAAGACACGTCACAGCGGAGAGCCGTTAACCAATATGCAAATTAGCCTGCAGTACCACTGCTCTACCCATATGAGCAGCAAAAAGACGTTTTTAGACCAAATATTACAGATTTGAACAAATACGCACAAAAACATCAAAATTACACAGAAACAGTACTATATAACATTTTAGACACATTCTAGACAGTTTATCAGCTAAAAAAAGTTAATTTTGGGGTAAGTTACTCTTTAAGCTTGATCAACTGATAAACCTGAACAAATCAACTAACTAGAATAACTAATTTTTACACTCATGAACATTTTTAATAGTCATAAACATGAAAAAATAAAAATACAATTTCTACAAGATTACCCAGCATTCTTTGCTGAGAAAATACTGGTCTGTCTGACATGAGGTGGAAGAGGGCGGGGCTTATCAGAATACTTCTTTCAACACTGCATGGTGTTAAATAGCAACACTGTTAAGTGTTAAATAAAACTTAACAATGGGCAGAGCTTTTTTAACACTGTCCAGTGTCGAGACAACACTGAGGAAATCAACACTGTGAATGAACTCCAACACTGGAAGTCAGTCTACTCAGCAAGAGTTAAAATAACACTAGAGGGAGTTAATTGACTCTGAAAAGTTTAACACTGACAATTTAACACTCTGGTAGGGCTGTAACTATTCAAAAACTCAAAAACATTTCTTTTCTCCTTTACAGATGGAGAAAATGTGAGAATAGCCAAACCAGCGTTTGAGTCGATGAGCTCTACCGACGAGGAGCAGGAGCTGAGAGAGCTGTCAGAGAGGATGGGTCATCTGCACGTAGAAAACAGAGCTGGTGCGAAGAGAACAAAAGAAAACCCAAAGGGAGAGGAGAACACGCGGGAAGAACCGAGACAAAAGGAGAGAAAAAGCTACGAGAGAGGCGCCGCCGGGCCCAACCTCAAGATGCAGGAGACGGAGACGGGCGACGCCGTCGGCCACGATCCCAGCAGAAAGACTAAACTCTCTCAGCCCGAGTGGAAACATCCGTCAGTGCCCAACGAGAGTTCAGAAAGCTGCGTGAACTGTAAGGATGTGCAGGAAGGGAAGGCCTCAGAGAGAGGTCAGAAAGGCCGAGCAGAGGACAGGTTTATAACACTTTGTTGAAGTTTCACTTCAGGAGATTAAAACTAAACATTTTCTTTACATCAACTTCTTAGGGATTTCTCTGGGATTTAATTCCCCCCCACCCATATTTAGTGTTCAATCATTCTTTTTGTTTATTTTTTTTATATTAAATCTGATGTCATTCAGTGAGCAGGCAGTCAGATCAGACTAGGATTGGATTAAATATTTCTTTGTTTTTAAAAGTTCTTTTTTTTCAAGGTAAAGATGTAGAAATGATACAGAAGTTGTCTGTGAGAGTTTACATTTAAATCAGGTGAACACAAAATTTAAACTATTTTCAGCTCAGGTTTTTGCTTGAATAAAATCATTTTACATTTATCTCTGAAGTCGTTTCTTCAAGATCACTGCTGATGTTTTTCTTTGTGTTTATTTGTGACCCATCACATCAAAATGAGGATTAAGTCAAATTTGGTCAAAATGACCTAATCATATTTTCAGATTCCTGGCTTTAAAAGCTACATTTTGATACTTAGTAAATCCAGAGATATTATTTAATTTGTCTTGTTGGTTACAATAATATATAAATATTTGGTCTAAATCCTATTTTTATGTAATTTTAATGAGAATATTTTGTCATTTTAAAAAAGAAACCTCAAATATTTCTATATTGAGATTTCACAGCTGGAAAGAAGCAACAGCTTTGATATCTTACAGGGAAAATCTCATTTTGGAAAATCCAACATTTTGAGGCGTTTTTCCTCAAAATCATGTTTTTGGTTGCTACTGCTCAAAAAACTGCTTCAAAAAATAATTTAGGATAATATTTCAGACAGTTCATTGAAATGATACATTGATAACACATTTATGTTATATTTTGATAAAATGTAACCTTTGCAAGCATTTTAATCAAAACCCTATCTGCCTATTTCTCCACATACAACTTTTAAACTTAATCGTCATTTCGATGTGATGGGTCACATTTATCATTAAATAGATGTGTTGCTTTGTCAGGACAAAATGTATTTTGTTGAAGTTTGAAGATATCCTCAATGTGAACAATTATAGACCTTTATTTTTCATCCACACAGCACACACAGTCATTTATGATGGAATGTAAACAACGCATAATAAATGAGTCGCTTTGCTGTTTTCAAACGTTTTTATTAAAAAGGTTTTTAAATCAAGCTGACGTTCTGAGGAATGTTTGTTTCTGAAGTTATTCGGTGTAGGTCAGAAAAGCTTAACGATGAAAACATTTTGTGAGTCATATTTGCTGGGAATGACCCATTATGCAGCTCTAATAAATAGAAATATACAATGTGCTGTGAGTAAAACGTGAGGACATCAGAGGTTGCTGACGGTTAGAATCTTGTCTCGGTGCTCCTCATACCGGTGCAACATCTTCTGGAGGTCGCAATCAGACGGAATCACCTAGAAACAAATTGGTTTATTTTAAAACTAGTTTTTCCCCCCTCATACACACACATAAATCAAACTCTGGTTTCTTTTAGACTGAGGTCATTTTAAGAGCTATCTAAACCAGGTGAGATATTAATTCTTAGCTGGAATATCAGTTTTTTATGTTTGACCTCCACACAAATGAGGAAAAGATCTGCCTGAGTGAGAGCTCTCACCAGAACAGGAGCAGGAACAGGAGAGGAGGTAAACCTGATGAGCCAGTCCTCGTACAGCTGGTGGATGGACTCCAGATACTCCTGGTGCGCACACACACACACACACACACACACACACACACACACACACACACAC